CACCTGCCATAACGCAAAATGGCCACGAGATGGCGGACTATTATTGTCAAGGCAATTTCCCATAGACTTTGAAAACCGCGGTTTTTACGTAGTTTGAGATCTATTTTCACCCCGTTTTCCCCCCTAGAGTGATGGGGGACTCAGAGTAAGATATTTTCCCCGAGTCCCTTCGACAAAAGCTCCGGCTGTCCCTTTAAAAGGCGGGTTACAATCAAGGCGCGACGTCTCTCACCTTTAGGCCCCCTTGCAATCGCCCTATCTTTTCCAATAGAACCGAATTGAAGCGGCCTAGTGACTGCCTGCAAAGGACAACCGGTCGGGGCAGGGAAAATATGCAATTGCCGGGCCCGGGGAGGAGAGGAAGGGAAATCATCATCACGCGAGAGAGAAATATCAGGTTTGAAAACGGTCCAGCTAAAAGTGTATTCGAGCGGGGCAGGCAATCGGATAGACACCTCCTTGCAAGGGGCCTTTCTCTCCAGCAGCCTAGAGCGTCGAACAAAGTCCTATTAGGGGGAAAGGCAGCAGCTGGGAGATTGCCTGGCTTCGCTAATAATCCACTTTTAAGGGCAAAAAAGGGGGGAAAAGCATTTTTAGAGGCGAGGCTCCACATTTGCAAAGCGATACTTCTTTTGCTTGAGCCAGAGCCGCTTCTGCCGCCCCTGGGCATGAGTTTCTTTTCTTTTTTCTTTTGCAGGTGCGACTATCAAGTCGAAATTGCCATTTTATTTTTTTGGGCGGGGTGCAAAGCTGCAATGAACTGGGCCAGAACCCGCTGCTGAATTAATATTCTTCCAGGGCTTCGGGGCCAAATAGAGGTAAGTGAACAGCTTGCATGCACAGGGCAGCCTTTAAAAAATGGGGTGGTGGTGGAGGGAAATAAAAAAACTAGAAATGAGGGGTGGAAACACACAAGGGAGGGAAACCATGATTGACGTCCTTGGGTCATCGAAGAAAGGCAAGAAATGGAAGTTTTTCATGGCAAGTGCATTAAGGGCCCTTATTCTCTTGTGCTCTATTCTATTCTTATTCCTATATTCTATTTTATTCTATTCTATTCCTGAATTCTGTTCTGTTCTAATTCTAATTCTAATTCTATTCTAGTTCTATTCTTATTCTTGGGGTAGGGTGGGTGGGGTGTGGTCTGGTCTGGTTTGGTCTGGGTTTAAACCTTGGAAGGGCCTCCCTTTGTGTCTTAAGACTGAATTTCTCAGGGTGCCACCCCCCAAATCTTCAAGGCCTTTGCCCTTTGCCCCACAATCCCAATTTCTTCTTCTGTGCTGTTAAAGCCCACCCCTGCAGGTGCTTTGAGCCAATCTCTGCATGCCAAAAAAAGGGCTTTCTGGTTTTTTTGACCTCTTTATTTCTCTTTTTAAATGCTCTGGCTTCCAAATTTCTTCCAGCTTCCCCCCTCACTCCGTCCCTTTGCGTGTCCCTCTCCACCCCTCAACAAAACCAGACAGAGATTCCCTTCTCGGCCTGTTTTAGATCCTGTAGATCTCTCACAGGATTGCACTGGTTCTCCCTCCTTTCTCTGAATCGGGGTTATTTCCAGCACAAATTGTTCCCCAGGGAACCATGGCCCAAAGAACCCTTTTATGAGATCCCTGGTAAAGAGCCCAGGCTTGGGGGGAAAGTAATAATGCTGCCCTGATCCGTTTAACATGATAAAACAAATGTGTAGGATTGGGGGTGGGGAGAAATTGGGTGGGCAGGAGAAAAAGGGGGGTCTGCATTGGTAAACAATTTTTACTGCTCAATGTGTGGTTTGCGACCATTTAAAGCGGGCCAAAAATGCACCATTTGAGGTGCAGGCAGTACGAGGTGACCTGGAAGCCCCCCCTTCACCTACAAGCGTTGAAGGGTGGCAGTTCCCAGGGCCCCTTCACCTGTTCAGGTATAAGACCCAAGAAGGCACAGCAGGACTTGGGCGGGAACACAAAATGATGCTTCGGTAATTTGGGGTGAAGAGCGATGGCTGTGGCCATGTGATCCTTCCGAGTCCCAAATTTCTGGAGATTCTCCTTTTGGCCCAAGAGGCATGCCTGGTTCTGCAGCCCAGACTTTGGGCCTCTTTTCAAAGACACACACACACACACACACACAGACACAAATGTTGGATTTCCACATTGCAACCTTCAGTTTAGTTGCTTAGACACACCACTGTGCAAAATTTGATTTGCGAGCCTGGCAGTTTTCTTGCAGACATTTCGTGACCCAAGCAGATAACTTCATTCAGTGTGCTGATGATGTTCCCTAGCTGGGTCATGAAAGGTCTGCAAGAAAACCACCAAGCTCAGAGATCATCAAGGACCCCACAATCCTCCTCCTCCTCTTTTCCACAAACCCCATTTCCTTCCAACACTGATGGTTTGGTTTTGAAACGTCTACAAGGAAACCACCCAGCTTGGAGAGCCCCAAGGACCTTATAGTTCAGCCCTGAGCTACAAATATTCTGATTGATATCCCAAAGTTGCTTTTCCAAGAGAGAACTGGACTTTCCTGGAGTTTCTTTGAAGACGTTTCACTTCCCATCCAAGAAGCTTCTTCAGCTCTATAGACGTCCTATCGATACCTTCTCTCATTCTCCACTTGGAGGTTGAGCCCCTTAAGGTTTGCTCCTCCCTCTTCTTCCCATCAAGCTTCCCGTCCTGCAGGGGCCACGCGTAAGGCTTTAAAGCCCGTGGCACGTACCACGCAGGCTCCTCCTTAGTGCCAGGGCTGTTAACTCCTCTCTGCTCTGGAAGAAAGGTTGCATTTCAGAATTTATTTTTGAAATGGTTTGCACCCTCCGCTTGGTTCGGCTCTCGGTTTCCCAAATCCCCGGTTCTCAGCCCTGTGCCCGAATCCCCCCAGGTGCTTCATTTACTTTCCTTGCTGTTTTTTCCTCCAGGTAGCCAAGAGGTGGGCTGAGTGTTGCGTATGCCCAGTTTCCCAGCGGCTTCCCCAGTGCAACCTGCCAACTGCAACCTTCCTCCCGCGGAGCTTCGCCCAACCCTCCACCGGAAGCATGGCCTCGTCCCTCTACGGAGGGAAGCTTCTCCCCAGCCGGGTCTCCCCCAAGCAGAAAAATGGGACCTCTCTCTCTTGGAGGCCCTGGGCGATGCCCCCAAGCCCCCTTCGTAACGCCTGGATTCTCCACCGTTGGACATCTCACTGAAGAAGGAAGTTCCCTCCCCAAAGAGGCCTGTGGAAATCTGCTAAAATATTCGTATTGGGGGGAGGAAATAAAGACTCGGCGGGATGGGTTTGTTTTTTAAAATTTATTTATTAGGAAGACACACTTGGGGAAGCAGAAACGGCTCTGCAAACCGGCCATGGAGGGGCAAGGACCCCCCTCCCTCTTCCTTTTTTGCAGGGGGGGGGAAACACCTCCCTGGCTGGAACCGGTACAGTGTTCTTTTCTTGTGGGGGGGAGGTCTATGCATCGCTAGCAGCTTTTGAGACCGACAAAGTGATCCAGTGTCCAAACTCCATGTCCTCTTTAAAATTTTTATGATTTTTATTTGGATGGTAGAGCACAGCCTGTCTCTGTCTATCTTCTTATCTTTTTTCCTCTCCTTTGACTTCCTGTGTGTGTCTCTCTCTTTGATGGGCATCGTTGGTTGGTTTGCTCGCTTGTTTGTTTCCATCCTGGCCTTTCTGGGCATTTGGTTGACTCGGGACTCCCGTCCTTCCGAGGTCGGTAAAACGAGGACCCGGATTGTTTGGGGGGTGCAATGCTTTGCTGACTCTGTAAACCGCTTTGAGACGGCCGTAAAAGCCCTGTGAAGCGGCATAGAAGTCTTTTTAAGTGCTATTGCAGCTTAGAGGCTACAGGGAGGCCCATCAGCCGCAATATTGTGCTTGGGGGAATGGGGGTAACCCATTGCTTCCCTTCTGGAAGTCTGTGTGTGTGTGTGGGGGGGGGTCCTTGGTGCTCTCTGAGCTTGTTTTTCTTGCAGACGTCTCATTACCCAATTAGGTAACATCATCAGTGCAGTGAGGATGGAATGATCAGGGCACTGATGACGTTACCAAGCTGGGTGATGAAACGCCTGCCAGAAAACCTAAGTTTGGAGAGCAGCAAAGACCCCACAGTTCAACCCTGAACTGTATTCTCCTATGTGTTTTTGTGTGTGTGTGTGTGTGTGTGTGTGTGTGCATGCATACAAAACACAGATATGCTCCGTTTTAATTGGCTTTTGTGCCCAAAGGATGCAGTGTTTTATTTTAAGGCAGGGCAGCCTGGGTGAGGATACAGAATTGCACACTTTCCCTGGTATCCACACCCAGGCAACCAACATGGAGCCCTTGCCAGCTTTCAACCAACGTGTGTCTGTGTGTTTGTGTGTTTGCCCAATTTGGGGTGGGGGAAAGAATGCAGGGGCCAAATTTTGAAGACACCCTTGCTGTGTCTGTGTTTGTTCCCTCCCCTGGTGCATTAATCCAAGATAGCTCAGTTGGTATCCTAGCTTCTTGTTAAAAGCTTCCCATCCACTTGAAGGCTTTCCAGCAAAGCAGTTGAAATAAAAAAACCAAAGAGAATTCACTCCCTTTGTAAAACAGGTAGGGGGGTCGGGGTGAGTCCTTCAGAACTTACAATTCCTTTTTTGGGTGGGTGGGGAGACATTAAAGTATTGGTGGGTAAACAGCCCAGCTTATTAGATGAAATCCTGGCCTCATCAGCCAGCAAAGGGGTAAGTATGAAATAAAAGTGCGACCAGTTGTGGGAACCACCAGATGGCAAGGAGGACAACGAGGACAGGTGAGAACAGGTAAGAACAGGTAAGTGGAGGGCACAGGTGCTGGGAAGATGGGGGAGGGCAGGCAGGCCTTAGCCAGAGTGGGTTGGCAAGAGCCCCCCAAGAGCTGGCCTGCCTGCAGCCCCCATCTTCCCAGCGCCTGCATTTCCCTCCCTCCTCTTGGCCCCCCCATCTTTGGCCTCAAGGGGGGGACCGAGGTAGGGAGGGGCAGGCCCTGGGTGCCCCCCTTCCAGGTCTGCAGGGTTGGGGTGGCCCCTGCCATCTTCCCAGGGCCGTCATCTTCCTCCTCCCCCTCTGCCCCAGGAGGGCTGCTGGGGGCTGAGTGGAGGTGGGGAGAGGAAGGCACTTGGGAGGATG